CATTGACTTCTTTTTTATATTTTATACAATTCTTCTTATAATATATTTTATTTATCTTTACTTATTTTCAGTTTATTCGAAATTAGATGAGTAGCCTAATCGATGAAAATTAATATTATTAATTTTATAAAATGTGAAAATACTTGAATTAAAAATAAATTTGCTTTGCCAAATATTAAGATTTCTCGCGTTACAATATCATTTCCTTTCTCAACTTATTTCTATTATCCATAAATATTCGAAATACTTCACTTTATGCTCAAGGTTATCGAAACAAAAAGCATTTTATTCGCCGAAATTTCACTTCCTGTTTAAAATACCATTTTATCTGAACCGTACAGCATTTATTTAAAATATTTTTTCTCTAAATTTCACCCAGACCAGAATTATTCTTATTTTCCAAACGCTTTTCCAAATCATCTATTTATGAATAATACGAGTAACATCAACATAAGCACGACATGCAATAACTATGAAAGTGAAAATCGTTCCCCTCTAATTGGCACCGAGAAATTTCGCGAAATCAATCGACAATCGCAGATAAAAGATTGATTCACATCGTTGTAGAAAGCAAAAAATTGAATAACACGTAAAAAAATGGAAATAATCTTGTTTGATTGCCCGATAGGAATGAATATTCCAAAGGAAAAAAAAGATAGGCTCTTTAGAAGAGAGTACAAATAAAGAGCACAGATACAATGATTAATGATCGGTTTGAATCTCCTCACGATAAGAATTCTGTCTCTCCCGAGTCATGAAACGCTGTTCAAACGCGACAAGTTCCGAGGTTAATTAACGTTGTAATTGACACGGTAATTCTTATGTTAGGCGCGTATACACATATATATCTTTATTTGCGCAAACACGCTTGACCAATGTACCATTAACCGCGATGATAATTGATTATCGGTGATTATAACTCGATCAATAGAATTACACCGTGGTTTTTATCGTCCCTGACCAATGAAATCGTGTTAATCATTTTGTCGGCATCGAAATGATTCCCCAGGCGCCGTACGATTTGTTAAAACAATTTGAACGTTGTTATTGGCGCCGTAAGCTGGTCTTATCTGGATTCGACAGACCAAGTTAAATGCATCGGACATCGCCTATTCAAGTGACGTTTTCCTTTCGTACAAACAAGCTTCGCGGGATCTAACAAAGTCGTTGCACGTTAAACGTTCCTCGCGTACAAGCCACGAAATGCAAATATTATTGCAACGCTGGTGGCCATCGGGACAATAAAATGAGAAATAAATGAACAGCGGATTTACAGTCCAACGTTTTTTAAATTATTTTGGGGGGGGGGGGAATAAGGTTACTTTGTAATGAAATTGAAAAAAATTGTGGAGTCAGAAACAGTTTTGGTCAAAACTTAAACCATATTTCTTTTTTTGGGAAAAAATTTTGGGCAAAACTGTTTTTGACTACTTAATTTTTTATCAATTTTATTGTAAAATGGTATTGCTTCCTGAAGAATAAATATGGTTTAAGTTTTGGCCAAAATTGTATTTGACTCCATAA